CTACTCTCCTTTCCTTGTTTGCTACTTAAAACCATCATCGCTTCTCACAAAGACTCTGCCATAGCTTTCCACCTGGGTCCTCCTCCCATTCTACCCCTTTCCTTCCCTAATCTACCAAATGGAGTGCTGCCAGACATCTGCTCAATCCTCCCGACTGCCCTCTAGGGACAGACTCCATTAAAAGCTACTAGAACTCAAGCTCTCTATACACAATGTGGCCATGCCTTCCTTGCCCAACCTCATCTCCCAGGCGTCTCCACACTTGCTCAGCATTCTCAAACGCATCTGACCTTGCCTTTGGCCTCTCTGACCAGAACCATCCAACCTCCACCTACTGAAACTCTCCCAGCCTGCCGGAGTTCTCCGCCAAGCCCACCTCCTCCAGGAAACCATTCCTGACCCCTCAACCAGATGTCCCCTTGCCTGACATTGAACCTTATAACCATTGTGTCAGTCCTCTTTTCTGGTCTTTCCATCTGTACTCGTCCTTCCTCCTTCCATGGACTACAGGCTCCCTGAGGGCAAACCATGGATCATTCATCTTCATCTCCACCACAGCATGGAGTACAGCACTTCTACAGAGTGACTAGTCATTGAACTAAGTGATGACAACACGATCCTTCAGTGATCAGAATTCCATAACCTCCAATAGCCTCTTTAAATCAGTTCATCATTTCAGAGTATTATTTTATTTAGTTAGGATTATAAACATATTGCAATCTACCACAGACAAAAGTCTAGAAAAGAAGAATCTGATATAGTTTATGTTCATTAATAATGCTAAGCAGTTAAAAGATTAAAAGTGGACACAAAAATAAAAAACGTTTTCTTATGATTAACTGTAACCAAAAGTTTTCTATTTAGGAAGATACCCAGCTAAATTTGGAAGACATTAAAATGCTGGACCTCAAACCTCAGGAAAATTGATCCAGTTACATATTTTAAGTGTTTATTTTTATTGGTAAGATTTTGATGCAATCAATGCTAATCTCTTTATGGACAGGTGACGCAGACACATAAAAACTCTACTTTCTCCTTTGTGGTGTTTTAAAACAGCCATATTCCTGCATAATTTATAATAAGAATGTAGAAACACTGAGTCAGATTTCCCCAATGTCTATCATTAAAATGTGGAGGCAGAGAGTGATTTGTATGGCTCAAACCATTTTTTTCAGGAAGTATAAGTTATTAACTTGGGTATCTTGCCACCTCCTCTTTGAAGAAGCAAATACTGATATACAAATTTCAAATATTAAATAAAGGGGCACCTGGGTGGCTCAGTCAGATGAGCGTCCGACTCTTGATTTTGGCTCAGGTCATGATCACAGAGTTGTGGGATAGAGCTCTGCACTGAGCATGGAGCCTGCTTAAGAGTCTCTCTCTCTCCTTCTCTCTCTCCCTCTGCCCCTCTCCCCTGCTTGTGCTCTCTCTCTCTTTCTCAAATAAAAATTTAAAACATTGGTGACACCTGGGTGGCTCAGTTGGTTAAGTTTCCAACTCTTGGTTTCAGCTCAACTCATGGTTTGTGAGTTCAAGCCCATATAGGGCTCCAAGCTGACACTGTTGATCCTGCTTGGAATTCTCCCTCTCCCTCTTTCTCTGCCCCTCCCCTGCTCACTCTCTCTGTCTCTCTCTCTCAAAATAAATAAATAAATAAACTTAAAAAAACAAATATGAAATAAAGACCTGAAGGAGCCCTCCTGCAGAAAGCAGGACAAGGGAAAAAAGAATCTGAGAATCAAACTCAGACTTAACTCAGAAATCTTAGCAACCATTCTTTAATTCAAGGCCTCCGTGAGAGATCTTCCTTGTGTAATGCAAATTGTGTCCATAGTGGAATGACTCCCAAAGATTTAATTTGTTGTTTTGAAAAGCAGATTAAATATTAGACTGTCATTTCCTATAGATGATAGGTATTATATATTCTGAAGAAATCACTAAGTATAAGATAAATATGAATTAATTTTGAATATTCTATTGAATGTTATTCCTACATCATCAAGATCATTTGAACCATTTTTAGCAAAACATTTGCACTTTATACTCGCATTAAAACAGAATTTCTTTCTAAAAGGGCAAAGTGCTTCCTGAAGTTCCAGTCCAGATACAATTAGAGAACCCAGCACAAGTGAAAGTAAAAATGAACCAGCTCTGTACCCCAGTCAGGAGGTTTAGCTGCAGAAGTGAGATCAGTCATCACAATGAAAGCATAGGATGAAAAAGCTGAGAATATATCAGAAACACTGACAGGAAAATCAGAAAGGAAACAGATTTTATAAACCAACTACCCATTACTGCTAAAAGGCTCCTCTTACTCCTTCCTTTAAAAGAAAATATCCTCATTTATCATATTGAGCATATAAAAGGCTGAGAGGAAGAATTCCTAGCAGTACAAGATGACACACAATAAAACAGTATATAGATTCTGTTTTGAAAATAATCTTAGAATTCCACAACCACTTTTTCCACTTTTGGACCCAAATGCCTAAGTGCACTTTCCCCCAGAAGTAGACCCCAAGTCAAAGATTCAAGTCCAAGCAGTTTATTGGGAAGGTTTAGAAAATGCTGTTCGGGAGTGCTCAGGAAGCAAGAGCCGCCCACAAGGGAAGTAGAAATATACCTCAGAACTGTCTCACCAGCAAGTGGGGAAGCTGGGGTGTTCATCAGCCAGTGGTTAAGACTGCTGTGGGGGCAGGCGGGGGTGTGTGTGTATGGCTGGGTGGCTCAGTCAGTTAAGCATCCAATGTGGGCTTAGGTTCCATGATCTCATGGTTCCTGAATTCAAGCCCCACATCGTGCTTTCTGCAGTCAGTGCAGAGCCCACTTCAGATCCTCTGTCCCCCTCTCTCTACCCCTCCCCTGCCCTCTCAAAAATAAATAAACATGGTTTGGGGGGTGGGGAAGACTGCTGTGTGGGGGTGTGGGAGAGTGTTAATTCCCTGGCACTTGATGCCAGACTCAAGCAGGAGCCAAGAGGTTTCCCAGCCCACAAAGAAAACCTTCAGGCAAGGAAGACCTGCAGATCTTCATGAAGGTACCAGCAGTCAGCAGGCCTCCTCCACGAAGACGTTAAGGTCCCAGAGGTATACAGGATATGACCACCATTGTCTACACTACATCCTCCAGAGGAACACCATCCCCCTCTACAGTCTTGTCTGTTGTTGGTGTTTGATACCAGTCTTCTCTTCCGTTTCTCTACTATCCAACAGAGCATATATTTCACATTCAACTCATCTACCACTAAGCTATAAAATATACAATCTTAGCTTACCTATGTCTTTATTTCTCCCCTTGACTCTACTTTTTATTCTTTATAAATTAATACTCTAAGTTGGGGCACCTGGGTAGCTCAGTCAGTTAAGTGTTCAACTCTTGATTTCAGCTCATGTCATGACCTCACAGTTTTGTGGGATCGAGCCCCATGTGGGGCTCTGCGCTGGCAGCATGGAGCCTGCTTGGGATTCTGTCCATCCTTCTCTCTCTCTCTGCCCTTCCCCTGCTCAAATGCTCTCTCTCTCTCTCTCTCAAAATAAATAAACATGTTTTTAAAAGACTCTTAAGTCTATTCCTGTGTTGTAAATTCTTTAATATCAGCCTTGCTCTCAATCAGTTTATAAAAAAAATTACTCCTTTGGTATTAGCCATCAGGATCCATAAAACTTCCATGAAAAATGATGGGTTGGCCCACATGATAAGCACTCAGGCCACACTAGCATCCAAAGAATCCTTGATGGTATTAAAGCAGAGTAATTTTTGCAGTTCCAAAAGTACACAGGTTCACAAAATAATTGGTGGGCAAAGGGGAGTAGAGGAGTCAGATCTGAAACTTGGAAGGAGCATTTTCAAAGAAATATGACTTCACTTGTTTCACAAAAATATAGTCTTTAAAAAAAAGTCCAGTCTAACTATTATTTTTCTTTGACTGCATGGACAGTTCCATAATATATTAGTAACTTCCTTCTAGGCCTGGAAGGTTCCTTTTGGCTTTAGTGTACATATAGTCAAAGTGAGATGATAATGTGCCTAGGTAAATTTGACCTAAAACAATCTTGGCTGATGTAAGTAAGCACTTAGTAAATACTATGTTATATTCATAATTTAATTTATAATATTATATTCATAATTTTTTAAAAAATCAATTCAGGGAATAATAGGCTGAAATTAATGGGAATATGGTATTATAGTTTTCTTGGCTTAGAGGGACTTACTGTCACTCAACAGATATATTGAAACCTGAACAAATATTGCCTGGTTAAAATTAATTTAAGTTGTTTAGAGATTGCCTAATCTAGTCTTTAATTTTAAGACAAATAAGAATGAAAAAGTAGACCAGTACACATCTCTGAAACTTTCTGGATATTTTTACACAGATCTTTAGAGGCCCATTCTATGGCCACTTACAAGCATCTGACAGGGCCACTGCTGAGTGAGATTGCTGTCTAGTATTAGGTTTTATAATTAGGTAAGGATCAGGCCACACCACCAAACCCACCGTTCCTCTGGGGAAAAAAAAATCATCCTACAATGCAGTATTTTAAAAATCAGACATCTCGAATTACAGTAAATGACATATATAAATATCTGGATCTTAAGGGCTTATATCAGTGCTTCTCAAACAATCTGTGATGAAGAGCCATTGTTAATGTCTCCAGTCTATCATACACTGATACTCTTGAAAATATATTAAAGAATGAACTATAAGAAAATAAAATTTCTAACATACAAAATGCAAGCTAAGTTCATTATTATTTTTAGATTCAACAGTCATAAAGCTGAATCTACCGTCAAATATCTTTAAAGTTTCTCAACACTTACTCAAACTTTCAGTACATATCACAGGCCAGTTGCAGTTGGTGGGTAGAACTGGTCTGGGACCATGCTTTGAGGAGCACTGATCTAAAATACCATGCAGGCAAAAAATTATAAATAAATAAATAAATAAATAAATAAATAAATAAATAAAATACTGTGCACATATTTTCTCAAAAGATGTACTTTACCTCTGACATTTTTTCCAAATCCCATAGAAGAAACTTTTTTGTCCACTTGTTCACTATTGTTTGATTTCTCCTTCATAACATCGTCATCAGTAACCACATCAGCAGAAAATTTTTTCTTTTTCTTTTTCTTGTGTCGAGGAGGAAGCTTTTTTGGAAAAGTAAACATTGGGAATATCACAAGAAACATTGCAATGGCACAAAGGAGGAATCCACTCCACCTAAAAAATTGGGAAATGTGAATAGTATTTATGGCCTTTGTATTATGAGTGAGAACAAATTAGCAAAGTAGAAGTTCATGGCAATAAAATTTTCCAGGGAAAATTTCTTTACCTTCAACAACTATAAAACAGTAGGAAGCTAGACAAGCTAAGAAAGCATAGGAATCCTCCCTTTCTATGTTATAAATGAGAAATCTACCCAATAATTCTACTACTATTGTAATGAACATTATAATTAGCAACCTGACTAGAATTTTATTCCAATATTTGTTAGTTCTGCTATAATGTGCATTTTACAATAACTCAAGAAATAAAAAATAAATTAATAGTTCATAAATAATAAGAAAATAATACAGACTCTTTAAGCATGTTTTGTGGACCAAAATAGACACATTTTTCTTAGTAGAAAACCATTCATATCTTATGTGAAATGTATTTTAAATTACTAATGGCATTCAAACCATTTTCTGCAAGCATTTGAGAATATATCGACCCTCTTAGTTGGCCCTTACAATACTTAACTATGAGGCCACTGAAGACATTTATGTTTGATCATTGCCTTTAAGAACTTACCCAGTTGTAAGGGAGCCAAAAATATAAGAAACAGTCTCCAAGGAATTCAAGAATGTATGCAATTAGGTATTAAACCGTGTGATATAGGTTATGAATGCTATAAACATTCAGACAAAGGAAATGTGTGTCAGAAACAGACACAGGAGAAGCAGACTTAGGAGAAGCAGATCTTGAGCGATGTAAAATTGAGAGACTGCCATTGAACTCATCTGAGGTGGCCATGCTGCAGAGAATAAGAATCAAATAGAGAGAGTAGAACTCAAATTCTAGTTAAGACCTTGGGCTTCTTGCCTGCATAATTCCTCCAGGACAACCTCTCAGTCCTCTTTCAACCCTTTCTTAGCAAAGCAAGTCAAGGCTTCTGATCTTATCTAACAGAGTTACCATTTTCTTACTAAGACTCCTCGACTCTAATCTCTATCCTTAAAGCTTTCAGGTTCTTAATGCTCAGACTCTAACTTCTATATCAGCACATTCCCATAGTGCAACATGGATGCAAGCAGCATTCTAAGCATCAATGTTGAAATCCACATTAATCATCATCCATTAAGAATATTAGTCATCCATTAAGAATGTAGATCAGGGATGGGGAGCCTGGGTGGCTTAGTCGGTTGAGCGTCCGACTTTCGCTTAGGTCATGATCTCGCGGTTCATGAGTTCGAGCCCCGTGTCGGGCTCTGTGCTGACTGCCAGCTCAGAGCCTGGAGCCTGTTTCAGTCTGTGACTCCCTCTCTCTCTGACCCTCCCCTGCTCATGCTGTCTCTCTCTCTCTCCTATAAATAAATAAAACATTAAAAAAAAAGAATACTTAATTTGAGATAAACTTGTCTCTGGAGAGAACTGATCCCTTAGGGAAATGGGTTTCTGGCAATGTGACTATAGATATATTGGCCTTAGGTGAATTGAATAGGAGCCAGTTTGGTCGGATAAGATGGGAGACAAGGAGGAGAGGGAAGGGACCATATCCAGACCANCGTCGGGCTCTGTGCTGACTGCCAGCTCAGAGCCTGGAGCCTGTTTCAGTCTGTGACTCCCTCTCTCTCTGACCCTCCCCTGCTCACGCTGTCTCTCTCTCTCTCCCAGAAATAAATAAAATACATTAAAAAAAAAAAAAAAGAATGTAGATCAGGGCACCTGAGTGGCTCAGTCGGTTAAGCATCTGACTCTTGATTTCGGCTCAGGGCATGATCTCATGGTTTGTGAGATCAAGCCGCATGCTGAGCTCTGTGCTGACAGTGCAGAACCTGCTTGGGATTCTCTCCCTCTGTCTCTCTCTGCCCCTCCCCTGCTTGTGCTCCTTCTCTCTCTCAAAATAAATAATAAACATTAAAATATATATATTAAAAAAGAATATAGATCAATTGAAAATTAATAATTCTTTTAAAAAATAGTGTTTCGATTAAAGTATTCTTACCAGCTGGTTAAAAAGGTCACACTTAACTGATAGAATAACTCCATAAACCAGTCATTAATATTCCAGCCTGATACTTTCAAAGATACTTAAAGTTACATCAAATAAAGATTTTTAAACAATCAGAAATAAAAGCTTTATTTAGAAGATTGCTCAGGGCAGACTTCTAGCAATTTCAATTATTCAGTGTACAACTAAGAACCCAGTGCCTGACACAGTTTAGGTATTGAAAATCCTGAATAAATAACATGGACTGAGATAGGTTAAAAAACAATGAAGTCATCTGTCTACAGAGAACATGGCTATGATCATATCTGGCCTCTGTACTAAGTTGTTGCTTATGGGGCCTTTGCTGATCCATCCCTCCTTATCTACCACCTTTGAATCTCTTTCCACACATCCTACATTCAAGTCCCTTGAACTCCCTCAGTTCCCTAGACCAGAACAGGACAAATAGTACAATATAAGGGACAGTTCTAGAGCTGTGGCTTCAGACAAACATGGGGTTTTGTCTTGTCTTTACCACTTACTAGCTCTAAGATCCTGGTGAAATTATTTCACTTTTCCAAACTAGCTTTCTCATCTGAAAGAAGAATAAAACTGGGGCACCTGGGTGGCTCAGTCAGTTAAGTGTCCAACTTCAGCTCAGGTCATGATCTCACGGTTCATGGATTTGAGCCCTAAATTGGGTTCTGTGCTGACAGCTCAGAGCCTGGAGCCTGCTTCAGATTCTGTGTCTCCCTCTCTCTCTGATCCTCCCCTGCTCATACTGTCTCTCTCTCTCTCTCTCTCTCCCAGAAATAAATAAAACATTTAAAACATTTTTTAAATGAAAGAAGAATAATACTAACTGCTTTTTGATGTCATCAGAACTAAGAATATAATGTATACGGTGGACCTAAAAAAATGCCTGCCTCCAAATCAGCAATCAATTCAAAGCAGCTAGTTTTGTTTTTGTTATGTAGATCTGTACTCAGCAACACCGCCCACCTCCACCCAGAGACATCGAATTAAAATTCTATGCAAACATGTAAGATACACTTACAGTTGGGGCACCTGGGTGGCTACGCCAGTTAAGCATCCAACTCTGGATTTCCACTCAGGTCATGATCTCATGGTTTGTGAGATTGAGCCCTACATTAGCTCTGCACTGACAGCACAGAGACTGCTTAGGATTCTCTCTTCTTTTTCTCTCTGCCCCTCTTCTGCCCGTGCTCTCTCTCTCAAAATAAATAAATAAACTTAAAAACATATACCTGTAGAGGTCCAGAGTAAGAGTAAATAACAGAAGGAAGGGAAGAATTATAGCAAATAAACAAAAATAATATAAAAATAGTATTAAAAGTTTTAGGTCTTTTCAAAACAGACCAAACTGACCCATATTCTCAATGGTCTTTAGGAGCATTGAGAAAATGCATGATCTAATGATGGAGCCAAAGGAGCCCCCAAGAAAAGCTGAGGAAAACAGAAAGTGTGTGGTATCTGTCAGGAAAGACCATGATTAAGAGCTAAAATTGAAAAACCAGATCCCTAAGTCTCCTTCATGTAGCATTACTCAGAGACTATTCACAAAGTGGAGCCAGTTGAGTATATTGACTAAGAGCTTCACCTTGGACCAGTTTTTTTTTCTAAGTTTATTTATTTATTTTGAGTGAGGGAGGGGGAGAGAGAGAGAGAGAGAGAGAATGAGTAGGGGAGGGACAGGGAGAGAGGGAGAGAGAGAGAAAATCTCAAGCGGGCTCCACACTGTCAGTGCAAAACCTGACATGGGGCTCAATCTCACAAACCATGAGATCATGACCTGAGCTAAAATCCCAAATCAGACGCTTAACCAACTTAGCCACCCAGGCACCCCAAGACTCAGTTTCCTATCCCAGCTCTCACTGCCTCCAAAGCTTTGGGCAAGTTATTCAAGTCACTCACTGTGTGTCAATTTCCTCATCTGTAAAGTGGGCATAATATTAGCGATTACATATGGTTGTTGGGTATGTAGGTCTAAATATGATGCTTAAACAAAAATGTCTGTGAAACTCTTAGTATAATGCTTGACACACAGTCAGCACCCAATAAACATTAGCATTATTCATTGCTTCCTTCACTCTCTCAGCATATAGTTATTGAAAAATCTATTATTACTACTAGGCATTAGATTAAATAACATATCAAAGACCTCGTCTTTGGTCAAGGTAAAAGTCTGTTATAAACTAGGCTACTCAATAAATAAAATTCAATTTTTAAAGAGATCTTTATTATACAGTTCTATATTGACAACTTTTATCATGTATACAACTAATACTGAACCATTGAAATAAATAGGGGCTCTTGGGTGGCTCACCCAGCTAAGCATCCGACTTCAGCTCGGGTCATGATCTCGTAGATGGTGAGTTCGGGCCCTCTGTCAGGCTCTGTGCTGACAGCTCAGAGCTGGAGTCTGCTTCAGATTCTGTGTCTCCCTCTCTCTCTCTTTCCCTCCCCCACTCATGCTCTGTCTCTCTCAAAAATAAATAAGAATATTTTTTAAAACTTTTTAATAAAATAAATTAAAGTTCCTGAACATTTATTAAATTCAAAGAACTGAATAATAGCTAACACATACCATGTAGCAAGAACTATTCTTTTTTTTCTCTTTTTTAAAATTTTTTTATTTTTTTAATGTTTATTTAATTTTGAGAGTGAGAACAGAGGAGAGGCAGAGAGACAGGGAGACACGGAATGTGAAGCAGCTCCAGGCTCCTCACTGACAGCACAGAGCTGGACCATGGGGCCTGACCCCCCAGAACACAAGATCATGGCCTGAGTCAAAGTCAGATGCTTAACCAACTGAGCCACCCAGGCACCCATAGCAAGAACTATTTGAAGTTCCATATATATAGACCCATTTATTCCTCATAAAACCCTATGAAGTAGCTACTGCAATTACTTCTCTTTTATGGATTAAAATCAACAACTGAGGGGCACCTGGGTGGCTCAGTTCACTGAGCATCCAACCTCAGTTCAGGTCATGATGTTGCGGTTCATGAGTTCAAGCCCTGCTGTGAGCACAGAGCCTGCTTCCAATGCTCTGCCCCTTCTCTCTCTCTCTGCTCCTCTCCTGCTTGTGTTCTTTCTCTCAAAAATAAATAAAACATGAAAAAAAATTTTAAATAAATAAAAATTAAAAAATAAACCAATGACTGAGGCACAGAGAAGTTAAGTAACTTCTTCTAAGGTCACACAGCTATTAGGTGGCAGACCAAGATTTAAACCCAGGAGAATATGACTTCAGGGTCTACGCTCTTAATCACTCTACTTTGCTACCAATAGGAGTGATGTCTACTAGAAAACTTTAAAAAGACAGAATATGGGGCACTTGGGTGGCTCAGTCAATTAAGTGTCTGACTTTGGCTCAGTTCATGATCTCACTCTTCATGAGTTCGAATCCCATGTCAGGCTCTGTGCCGACAGCTCAGAGGCTAGAGACTGCTCCAAATTCTGTGTCTCCTTATCTCTATCTGCCCCTCACCCACTCATGCTTTGTCTGTCTGTCTCGCTCTCTTTCTCTCAAAAATAAATAAACATTAAAAAATAAAATGAATTAAATAAGATAAAATTAAAAAATTAAAAGTCAGCATCAAGTACTTGTAAGCCTTTGAAGTCCATGTCTCTTTCCTCCTCCCTGCCTTCAATTTGGTCCTCCTCATCTTTCTCCCTCCCTCTACATGTTCCCTTTACCGGCATGCTCTTTTCACAGACGTCTATATAGAACACAAAATATACATTGAATGTTCATAAACATATTTTAATAATCCACTTTTCTGAGAATAAAAAAAATCCTTACTCTGATTTATTTCAGAACTGCAAAGAAAACAGTAGTTGAGACCAAAAATTTCACTACTGGTTAAGAACTTAAAACTCCTGTGTTATTCCCCTAATGCTGACAAGGGAACTTCCTTTTTTATGATTTAAAAATTCTACGAGCCCAAGCTCATCAGATATTAGCACATCCATCTTCAAAGAGTGTTACTTATGAAGAGAGAAGTGTTATGTAACTTAACTGATATTTCTTAATTGCTTTGAAAATAGACAGTGTTAAGCATTATTCCCACGTACTTCAGAGTTATGAGATTATCTTATAATAAAATGCATAGATAACACAAAAGCACTAAGAAACTCTTCTGAAAGTAATTAGTTGATGGTAATTTCTAATACTGAACTATTCTCTTTATTATAAAATGAACATTTCTTATCAGTGTATACCTATTGCTAATCCATGTTAAATGAATTCAGGAAGCCGATAATTTTTGGTTAGTGCTTGCTATCATGAAGAAATAATGTGTGTGTAAATTGAGGACTATGAAGAACTTGAACACAGTCCGGGCTCTGTGGATAAATAACCTAACATCCAAAGTTGGAGTTCTCATTCTAAATCCTCAAAATTACTTATTTAGCAAGACAATTAAGGGCTAGCAAGTGAGAGAACAGCTAAATCCCTAACACTCTGGAAAAACAATTACTGAGTGAAAAGATTCACTAAGAGTGTGACAATGGAAACGGGGTGGGGGGGCGGGCGGGTGGAGTTTGGGGCAGTCAGGGAGGGCTGACAAAGCAGAAGTGCAGATATAATAAGGAAGGGGGGGAAATATTTTTTAAAAGGCACAGCAAAGATAATGAAAGCTAGGACACAGGAAAGATAATGAAAGCTAGGACACAGCAAAGATAATGGAAGCTAGAACACAGCAAAGCCCCAACACAGACACCTTCTCCTCCTCCACTCTGCTATTTATAGCAAAAAATGCTTCAACCCTAAAGAAGGTGGATTAAGCCAATGTTCTCAAGCCCTCGGCATTACTTTCCCATTGCTGCTATAACTACCCCACACTTAGTGCCTTAAAACAACATAAATGTGGTATCTTATAGTTCTGGAGATCAGAAGTCTGAAGTGGGTTGACAAGGCTGCATTCCTTCCAGAGGCTCTAGGGGAAAATATCTATTTCCTTCGGTTTCCTAAGCTTCTAGAGTCCGAGTGTGTTCCTTGGCTCATAGAACCTTCCTCCATCTCCAAAGAAAATGGCTCCAACCTCTGCGTCAATCACCGTATCTTCTCTCACTCTGGCCCTCCTGCCTCCCTCTTTCCCTTATAGGGACCCCTATGATTATATGGGGCCCATTCCTGTCATCAGGATAACCTCCCTACCTCAAGATCCCTTACTTAATCACATCTGCAAAGTGTCTTTGACCATGTAAGCCAACACATTCACAGGTTCTGGGGATTAGGACATGGATATCTCTGGAAGACTAACTATTCTGCCTTCTACCCCCTCCAAGGTGACTTTTAGCTGTTTTTCATATTCCCATGGGGGAAATTTTTATTTTAACTACAAGGGTACCACAACTTGAACTATCATTAGTAATAAGTGAAATGAAAAATTTAGTAAACAATTCTTACCAGTTTCCAATGAAACGAGGGTCATTCTGATCAAGGTTAACGGGATTTCTGGGATCGACATAAAACCCAATAAGAAGTCCACCTAATAAATATCCCACTGCAGGACCAAGTGCTCCCATGACATACATGATGGCTGAGGAGACAGAAGGGGAGACGTGAAATAGAGCAACGTGTTACTTACATTTCAAGAGCTGTCTAATTTCAGTCATTCCATTTATACACTGCAGTTAAACCCAGTTAACAGCATCAAAAACAAAGAACTTTAGAGATTGTGCCCCTATTTATATTTGGGTTTCAAATCATGCCCTTTATTGAGCTGCTGCCTGTCGTCCTTTGAGAACATCAGAATCACCTGGACAGCTTTCTGATTGCTTTTGTTTTTTAATATAAGTGTTCAGGCCCCACTAAATTTAAATTTCTAAAAGTGCTAGTTAATGAACAGACACGGGATAATCAAGGGAAGATAAAAGGTAGTGTCAAAATTAAAAAATAAAAATAAATAAATAAAATGTCATTTCAAGATAAGAAGAAAAAAGTAGATGTCACTTGTCACAGCTGGAAGATTCTAACAGAATGAGTGAATCAAGGCCAGATTCTGCCATGAAGCTGGATTTAACTGAATCGGCAAAGCTGCTTAAGCACCCTCGAATCATGAATATTTTTCAAATCACCACTTCAGAATCAAAGAAGAGCTCCCAATGCATTTGGTTAATTGTTAATTGAGGAATCTTACTTAAAGACTCATAAATCCCCTTAAATGGCATGAGTGAGAAGGTCCAAGTGGATACAGGAACCCACAGCTGAATAAGAAAATTATTTTTTAAAGCACATGACCAAAGTAGGAGGGGATGGGGTTCTGTCAGTAGCTCAGAAAGGTTGTCATTCTGTCCAAAAAGAAATTTGGCCATCAAAATGGGCTTAGAGCAAAAAATAACAATAAATTCACTGTTATGCCCTTATATTGTTTTCACTGCTGTGATTTCAAATAAAAAGCAATAATTTTGTCAATTTTTAGATTTTGAGGTAGGATATGAAATTCTTTAAAAATCACAGAAAAATCTATCCACATATTACAAACCCATTTTTTTCCTGCTAAAACTTAATCATTTGGGGAGAAATCTATAAATACTTTTAAGATACTCTTGTGTGCAAGACATGATAAACTCAGGTGTTGAGGCACCTGGGTGGCTCCGTTGGTTAAGCATCCAACTTTGGCTCAGGTCCATGGTCCATGAGTTCGAGCCCCGCGTCAGGCTCTGTGCTGACAACTCAGAGCCTGGAGCCTGCTTCGACTTCTGTGTCTCCCTCCCTCTCCCTCTCCCTCTCTCTCTCCCTCTCTCTCTCTCTGCCTCTCCCTTGCTCATTCTCTCTCTCTCTCCCTCCCAAGAATAAACATTTAAAAAAAACTCAGGTGTTACATATTTCTCGTTTCTATTGCCATTATGCATTTAAGCTACTGAATAAATAACTAGTTAGCCATACCCTTTAAATAGCACCATATTTACCAAAAGCAAATTGACTAACCAGAATAGCTTCACTTTATCACTTGCACCTAAATAAACTTTGAATAAACTTGTATCTCCTGTTACTTAGCACTACAGACAGTAATTTAACACCTGCTCTCATTTTTCACACTATTTCATAAGAGAAAGCGCAGTGTTTATTTCACAGAATCGTCTGCTTGTAACAATAAGACATTAGGTGCTTCGACTTCTCCATCTGTGTTTGGAAATGGAGAATGGAGGCACAGCCACAAGTAATTGGTATTCCTTTGGAAGCATGCTTTTAATAAAACAAAATTAGAATTTTGATAAATATCTTGTTAACCTCTCTGTTTACAGCCTGAAACGGAACTCAAGAATAAAAAATGCTTTTTCAGTTTTTCCCATATGCATATGAAGATAAAATTTATGTTTACACCTCCAGGCAAACCAGCACCATTTACAACTTAAAACTGTAATGAGGCCAAAATGTGACATGAATCATCTTTCCCAAAATAGTTCTCCTGGCATGAAAGAGACTGTCTTACAAACACAGACAGGGAAAAGGGTATTTCCGCCATCCTGTTTACGCCTGGGGCACTTGAGCAGCACCGCGGAATGCCAAGCGGCGCAGTGCCGGATGTGTGCTGGCAGGCCTCGCAAGTACCCCGCGAATGGAACACCAGTTAAATAACGTTCTCCAAAAAATCTGAACTGCTCTTTAAGGTTTTTTTAATGTTTGTTTATTTTGAAAGAAAGAGAGGGCACGCACTTGCACAAGGCGGGAGGGACAGAGAGAAAGAGAGGGAGAGAGAATCTGAAGCAGGCTCCAGCTCTGAGCTGTCAGCACACAGTGGAACACGGGGGCTCGAACTCACAAACCATGAGATCGTGACCTGAGCCGAAGTCGGAGGCTTAACTGACTGAGCCACGCAGGTGCCCCAAACTTAACTACTTTTTAAAATACAGATAAACTTTTTAAAATTCAGCTATTTAATCAGAAAAAAATTATGTGTATTATCTAGCAAACGCTTAGACCAACTGAATCATTCTCACTGATAGATAGACAGGCACACATAACTATAAAATTGTATTATATGTTATACTCTATAATAGTGTTATAACTATACCATATATGCTATATTTATAAATCAATAAGTATATAACACTAGAGATAGAGATAGAGATGCATAATAACTCGTTGACATGGTCCTATTTAGTAAATAAATCATTCTGGCCACTGAGCTAACATTTATTAATTGGTTAGCCAGTGGCACTCATTCAGAGCTTATGAGAGGTGCAAACTGTTGACACAAACTTGTATGACTCACTCTCCTAGTCAAAAATTCCTTTTTGTTTTTTATAAATATTTACTTCTTTTTTTTTTTAATGTTTTATTTATTTCTAGGAGAGAGAGAGAGACAGCGTGAGCAGGGGAGGGTCAGAGAGAGAGGGAGTCACAGACTGAAACAGGCTCCAGGCTCTGAGCTGGCAGTCAGCGCAGAGCCCGACGCGGGGCTCGAACCCACGAACCGCGAGATCATGACCCAAGCGAAAGTCGGACGCTTAACCGACTAAGCCACCCAGGCGCCCCCTTCCTAGTCAAAAATTCCTAATCACCATTCACCCCCCAACCACTACTGCTTGAAGAAGTCCAAACTGCTCTGGAGTTCAAGGGTGAGACAAGTTGGTCTCCTCCTGCCATTTCACTCTTCTTCTTTTTTTTCTTTAATGTTTTATTTATTTCTGAGAGAGAGAGAGAAAGAGAGAGAGAGAGACAGTACAAGCAGGGGAGAGTCAGAAAGAGGGAGACACAGAATCTGAAACAGGCTCCTGGCTCTGAGCTGTCAGCACAGAGCCCGATGTGGGGCTCGAACCCACGAACCATGAGATCGTGACCTGAGCCGAAGTCAGACGCTTAACCGACTGAGTCACCCAGGTGCCCACCATTTCACTCTTCAAACCTACTGCCTGCACACAGGGCTCCAGGCAGAGCGACTCTTAGAACAGGCCTGGGCAGAGCCACCTCCCTTCGCTCAAGCACCCACAGTGCCCCCAGGTGCTCCTGTCTGAACCCTACCTGTTCTTCAAGGCCCAACCAAGTCCAGCTCTGCCTGTCCTCCCCTGAGTGGTCTCTGTCTCCTCAGAGACCTCCACCTCTATCTATTCCAGTGGCCTCCACACTTTTCCAGTATCCATCCCTATTAGTAAGAGTTTTTAAACATTTACCTACAGGGGCACCTGGGTGGCTCAGTGGGTTAAGTGCCAGACTCTAGATTTCAGCTCAGGTCATTATCTCACAGTTCGTGAGACTGTGCCCTGTGTCGAGTGGGCTCTCTGCTGACTGCATGGAACCTGCTTGGGATTCTCTCTCTCTCTCTCTCTCTCTCTCTCTCTCTCTGCCTCTCCTCTGCCTGTGCTCTCTCTCTCTCTCAAAATAAATAAACATTAAAAGAAAAACTTGAAATGTTTACCTACAGTGTGCTTTTCTGTGTAAGGAATGTGTACTTCCCACGAGCCTCACTCTCACAGCTTGCATCTGATGTATCCGTAAGCCCAGCTCTTCCATCACATCACACCCAACCCACAGCCCCTTCCCCAGGCCTCTACCTGGGCCCAAGCCACCAACGTCACTCATCTGGAAAAGTGCTCCAGGCCTTCCAGCTGGTATTCCTGCTGCTGCCCTTCCTCCCTACAATGAATTATCAACACAGCAGCCCTAACAATCCTTCAGACACACGAGCCAGGTCATGTCACTTCTTGGCTCACACCCTCCCTGTATTCCCCTCTCGATGGCAAGAAAAGCCAAAGTCCTTTCATGTGGCTGCAAGGACCTGCCCACACTTTGGCACGACTCCCCATTATCTCTCTGCTCCATCTCCTGGCCTTTCCTTGTTCACTCAGCTCCAGTCAAACTGACCTCACTCACCTTCACCCTTCCGGGCACATTCCCACCTGACGGTGTTAGCGCTTGCTGTATCTGCATGTGCGTGTGTGTATGTGTGTGTGTGTGTGTAATGCTCTTCCCCAGAGAGCCAAATAGTACTTTCCTTTACTTCCTCCAAATAGGTATTCAAACAGTTCCTTCTCACCGAGGGCTTGCTTGGTCATCATATCTAAAAATTTAAAAACTGTTCCCCAATTCTTCCCACCCTCCTTCTGCTTTGGTTTTCTCCTTAGCATACGTATTCTCCAATACACTCTGTATTTCCTTTGTTCATCTTGTTTATCACCTGTTCTCCCCGTCTAGAACACAAGCTCCGGGAAGGCAGGGGTCTTGCCGGTGGTGTTCACTGACAAGAGTAGTGTAGGAGTCACGAAACTCATTTCACTCCCATTATCCATTACCTTTACCCACTCCCAGTGAACGCTCTGCAGTTATTAACAACAGTACGTGTCAGGGATGAAAGTCTTCTTCAGTGTGTATCGGCTCTTGAGACGTAGGCCAATCACTATCAAGATTTTTTGTCTGTGTTTCGTCAGATGTGATGATACTGTCATTGGTTTTCTCTCACGATGAGGAGCTTATACTGGGCATACAGGCTATCCAGTGAACTAGCAATAGAAAGAACTACAAGTTCCCCAAGTGTCAAGACTTGTCTAATTTCAGTCACATCATATATTTATGTCACAGTTAAAC